ATAATATAATATAATATAATATAATATAATATAATATAATATAATATAATATAATATAAAAAAATAAAAGGATGCTCTATAAAAAATAATCACAGATTATTTTTAATGTTAGGCACACACAATAGTAAGAAATAGAGTACAGGTGATCCTTGCTTAATGACTGTTTGTTTAACAACAGTTTGAAGTTACCTTGGATGCCTTGGAAAAAGTGCTTTATGACCTGTACTTGCACTTAAGACTGTCGCAAACTGTTGCATCCTCCTCCTCTGGCCATGTGATTGCAATTTGCAACTTGTTTTACAACAGTTGTTAAGCGAATCACTGAGGTCGTTAAGCAAATCACATGGTCGTTAAGTGAATTCTGGCAAAAAAGTCCATTGGGGAAACTGGATTTATTTAACCATGTGATTCACTTAATGACCATCATAAAAATGGTCATAAAATTGGGTCTGGTCACGTGACTCACTTAACGACCACCCTGCTTAACCAATTTTCTGGTCCTTATTGTGGTCCGTTAACTGTAGCTCCAACTGCATAGACTAAATGTAGTTCCAGAGTTAGAGCCCCTTTGTATAGAAAGTGTGGGTTTTTCAATGGTGCTCACTGGGGATGGGGTGATTTTTAGCACTTAAATTGGAACCAGTGGCCTTTCAGGTAATTCCTACATCTTTTCACCCCTAGTCATTGTTTATGCTAATCCAGATTGAGAGGATTTGGGGGACACAAATTCTTCATGCCTAAAATCATATTTTCAGAGAGGTGTGTGTGGTTTCCAAAAGACCATACAGGGAGGCAAGGATAAAATTTATCATCATGTCTGCTACTTTGCCAATAATTCTCAGTCTTCCCAAGCAATCCTATTTGTCTTTGACAGAAACAGCAGGTTAAATACTTGGGTGCATTTAACATAATACCTAGTTTTCTCCTTAGAGTTTGCTTATGTTATTTATTTATTTTTTAATAAAGTTAGGGGGTTGTGCACTTCAAAAATTACTTTGTAAAAAATAGCTTAGATCCAGAGTTCTCCTTTGGAACATTCTTTTATAGGAGTTTTTCATCCAGCAAGGGATCTCCTCTTGCGGAATGATGGGCTTCCTATCTGCATTTACAATGCAGAAATGAGAAATTTCCAAGCAGTTTGCTGGGGAGGGAAACAACAAAGGGAACTTCTTTGCTCAAGATGAGAGACAGACCAGTGTATGAGCTGTTATGGAAGAAGAAATCAAATAATTAAATTAATATTTAATATAAAAGCTGACAGTATTTTAATACGAACATTTTATGCCTCAAGACCATTTGGGGAATGTAGCCAGGCTCTCATCACTCAAATGGAAATGCCGCCAAGTCAGAGCTTTGCATCTTTGGGATATGGACTCCGTTAGCTTTTGCTTGAATATATAGAGTGCATAGAGCGAGATCATATCTGCCTGTCATATTATAATGATAATCATTACATATTTGTAATGTAATTTTTAAAATTTTTATTTTTAATACTGGTCACTGCCCAGAGTCACTTGTTGAGATGGTTTAAATAAAATAAGTAAAGCTCAGTTTGTATTGTGGCCTTCCCAGGTTTTGTATTCAACATGTGTACAACACCAGCACTTTGAGATGTTGCCTACTAACATCTTGTCAACAGGGTATTTCAATCAGTAGATATGCTTTGTATGCTTGCATAATCTCCAGATTGCTAAATACAGTGCAATGTTATAAAGGATTTTTGAATGTAATGCCTCAAAGGAGCATTCATTTGTCCTTGATGGTAACTGTATTTACTAAAAGTATTTCATCTTTCACCCAAAGACACTAGGACAGTGAATAACAACAGCAAAAACTCCAGTGTATTCCACTGATACTATATAATAAAATCATAAAGCAGCATTACAGCAGATTACTTTTCTTATATGCTGCTCCATTTATGAAGATTCAATATAAATAGGAAGTCATACAAAAATCATCTTTTAAAATGATTCAGTAAGTAAATAAGATTTAATCTGATTATAATGATAACAGCAGTAAAATACTATTAGTTATTTTCCCAAAGATGTCCTTGTAAGGAACTTTTATTTCCAATTTTTTATTTAGTAAATTTGAGTGCCATTGACTCTTCCTAGACTCCTGACAGCTTAAAACAATAAAATATACGAAATAAAACATAGAGGTGGTCCTCAACTTATGACTATTCCTTTGTAGTTACAACGGTGCCGAACAAAGGAACTCATGACTGGCATCCAAAATTATGGCCATTGGAGCGCCCCCACGGTCACATGATCAAAATTTGGGTGCTGGGCAGCCCACCTGCACCTATGACCGCAAGGGCACTTTAGTTCCTCCCACCCATCTATCTTCCCCCCATGTCTGCCCTTTTGGGTGCCCTGCACAGTGGCATTCCTTGGTGGCAGCGGTAACACTTAGGCTGAATTAGAGGCTTGGGGCCTTCAGCAGCTGGCTGCCACTGCCCCCAGGCCTCTACTTCAGTCCCAATGCAGCCGGCACCGCTGCTGAGGAGTGCTGCCTCAAGCCGCACGCCAAGGCCAGCCACCCCAGTGCCATAGCACAAAGCCCTAGCCACCCTGCCGCCCTGCGTTCCACAAGCCCTGCTGCACCCAAGTGACCGTCACTGTTTTCCTCCCGCTGCTGACGAGGCACGCTCGGCCTCCCTTATGTGAAGCAGCTGTTGGTCGCGCCAGTCTTTCTTTCCAAGGCCATTCGTGCCATTCTCCAAATCACGCATGTCATTCTTCAGATTGCAAGCCTCGTTCCTGCACTGCTTCAGAAAGCCTTTGGAAAGATTCTGAGGTCTTCCAAAGCATTGCGAGAATAGGGCACACCTTGGAAGACCTCAGAATCCTTTCAAAGGCTTTCTGAAGCAGCTCACTGTCCTGGCCTAACGACTGCAACTGGGACTACGGGAACTGCCATCACTAAGCAGTGCAGTCACGTGATGTTTCACCTAACAACCGCATTGCTTAGCGATGGAAGTTCCAGTCCCAATGTGGTCGCAAGTTGAGGACTACCTGTATATGGTAAAACCCCCAACTCAACCTATTACAACACAGGGTATATGGGTAATAACAATATAAATCTAAAATATACTGTATATTAATACAAAATCCTAAGCAGTGAAATTCAGTCCCAAAGCCCCTCTAAATAAGTACAGTTCTAGCTGATTTCTAGAAGGCCACTGTAACTTCTAGGAGAATAGGTGCAGACAGTGTGTTCTGGCCACAGCCCCCCTAACATCATAAAAATGGGGGACCTCCAGTAGTTTTTCCCAGGAAGATCATCTTGGACAGGTCCTCTCTGGTTGGAGCAGGTGACCCTGCGGATGCATTGGTACCAAGCCATAGAAGGATTTATAAGTCAGAACTAGTACTTTGAACTGCACTTGGAAACCTATTGGTTTCCAGTGCGGAATCTGCCTGTTACTCAGGCTTGAACCCAAATGGAAACGGCTCTAGATAATCTACACCCTTCAGGGTTTTATAAGAACAATCTTATGTATGCTTGCTTAGAACTAAGTCCTCCTGTACATAATAGCATTTACTCAGGGAAATCTGGATAGACCTGCAATTTCATATTTTGTTGTTGTTCAGTCGTTAAGTCGTGTCCGACTCTTCGTTACCCCATGAACCCTATCGCGCCAGGCCTTCCTGTCCTTCACTGCAATCCCTATATTTAAGAACTTATATATTTGATACAGTGTTGTCCTGGAAATTGTCCACCATGTGACCAAGTCTGTGGTCGAACATTAGGATGTCGGAATCACAAGTGTCCTTCGGTCTGCCACAGAGGTAAGAATGAGCAGGAAATCCTGCTTCTAACCTTTCAAACTAAGTGGCATCTGGGTCTTTGCCTGCTTTGTTATGGAAAACATTTACCATATATAACTGTGGATAAGCCAACCCTTGAAATTTCAACCAAAATACCATGAAAAATGCATCATCCGCAGATAAGTAGATTCTTGAACAGGCAGGAAACTGCAAACTGTTACATCATCATTTATAAAACTGCACGATTTTAAGGCTGTGATGGGTTTTTAAAAAATCAGCTCTGGTCTGCAGATAAGCCAAATCCAAATTTTGGGGTGTATTTCGGAATCGAAAATTCTGGCTCATCTGTAAGTATATACGGTAGGTCAAAACTTCTCACTCTAATTTAGGTTCCTTGTTAATTGGCTTGCTTGCTTGATAGGGCTGGGTCAGAAATGATACCATAACAATGAAATATCTTAAAGCATAAACATTAGTAAAAAATCCCCACAAACGCTAATATTATTTAAGTTATTTCTTATTTTTAATGGATTGATATTAGATAATAAAATGGTTTTCATGAAAAAAATTATAGACAATGTGCAACAGCTTGTTTGGCCTTCCTCATGTTGATGAAAATTACATAGGAATAACCATATGAGCTTTTCACGTTATTATTTTTCATTATATCAGACATGCACATACAGCCCATTTTTTATTCTGTAAGAGTGCTTCAGATTTGTTTGAGGAAACTTTAGAGGTACAAATATTAAGCTTTTGGGCAAATCAGAGAAACAGTTGCTTTCCAGCTACCTGCTATTGAAAAGAGGCTCCATATAGAAGTCACGAATCTTTTGGGTCCTCTTCTGAACTTTCAGAAATTATAGCCATAGGGAGATGGCTATTAGTATAAGTGTACTAATGGACAACTACTTATTCATGAATAATTATTGATTGAGATGCATTGTAAATATGTAATAGATACCTGTGATTTAAAACTCTGAACGAAGGCCTCGTATGGTACTGGAAACCTTGATTGTGTGATCTAACTGTAGTCTTAGTTGCTTTGGTCATGAGCGATGTGGCATGATTGTTGCCAATGGCTTTCCAAAGTTTGTTAATTGTCTTTTTTCAAAACTGGTTATTTATAATGTGTGTATTAATTTTAGGCAGCTGCTATCCATGCCCAGAAACTGTGGATGTGAAGTGCAGTTGTGGCAAAACTGTTCTCAAAGTACCTTGTGGGAGAGAACGTACCACCAAAGCCCCCAGATGCAAAGAACTCTGCAGGTTAGTATTTATTGATTTTATTTATAATTTTTTAAATTAAACTTGTACAGTAGAGAGTATAAAAACCTCAGGTGCATCTTTATGAACTTACAAAGGTTGGGAACTTTTATTTTCAATTTTTAATTAATTGTACTGCAGCTAATAATCACAAAGCTTTACTTTGCTGTCCTTTTTGTTTTTTTTTTTGGTGCCTTTGAGTCCATTTTGACTCCTTGTGATTGCCTGGACTGGTCTCTGCAGTTTTCTTGGCAAGATTTCAGGGGTCAAACACTGACTCAGAGCCTGCCCCCTCCAAAACTGTAGCCTTATCTTCCATGAATTAAGTTGTCATTTCTAATAGCAAATTCCATAGTTTTACTCCATATGAACAAGTCTCTCCACCCTTGGCTTCACTGGATTGTCCAG